CCCAGGCCCAGGCAGAGGCTGGTACTGCATGAGGTCAGGGCCGCCACCGCCACTGCCACGCCGCCCTCCATACTGGTCCATGGAGTCGAGGGCCGCGCACATGCGGCTTATCTCGCGGGCTGTGGTGGCGCTGTACTGGGCCAGGCTGGCCTCCTGGAAGCCCGCGGCTTCCCCCCGGGGGCCATACCTGTGGTCTGAGTAGATGTTGGACACGGAGCTGTAGCGCCGCATGGGCAGCGGGTGAGTCAAGGGGTCTGTGGGGTGGCGCAGGTCCGTGAACGAGCCGTACTGCAGGCCCTGCCCCAGGGAGCGCCCGTCCACGAAGCCCAGGCTGTAGGACTGCCTCAGCGAGCTGAGGTCCACGGCCGAGTCTCGCCCCGGGCCCTGGAAGAGCTGCCCCATCCTGTGGGCGTGGTAATTGAAGCTGGCCTCAGCCAAATTGGTGTCAGACATGGAGGAGTACAGCCTGCCTGGGAGGCCCAGTGGGTAGGGCCTCTGCTCCTCCGGGTGCCCAAGCCCCGCTAGCCCCTGGGCCCGGTAGGTGGAGGGCTCGGGGGGCTCCGGGTCCCGCGGGCTATAGAAGGGGCCGCTGCTCTGGGCCCGCGGGGCAGCCTCGGCCCCACTCTTCTCGGGGGCGCTGGGGGCGGGGTGGAAAGCGCCCGTGCAGCTGCTGCCGAAGGGGAACTTGTAGACCACGTCGCAGCACGCCAGCTGGCTCTCGGGCCTCATCCCCGTGAGGTCCATGGCGCCCGCCGGCTCCTCCGGGAGCAGCGTGGTCACAGTGCCTGCCGTGCCCTCTGCCATTTGCACCAGCACAGTGTGTGGCTTCCTGGCACCCAGCTCTGGCACAGGGCCTGCCTTGAGGCCAGCGCTCTGAGCAGTGCCCATCTGAGTGATCAAAACATCTCTTCTGGCCAGAGGGGCCACCTGGTTGGGCAGGTTATACCTGGCAACCTTGGCCTCCCTGGGTCTTCCCCGGGGCCCACCTCGGTACGGGGCTGTCTGGACGGCCTGCTCCACCTGCCTGACCTGGGCCAGGCACACGGGACTACCTGCCCCCTGGCCGAAGTCGAGGCGGCTCTGGAAGGGGTCTCCATAGACCACAGGCTGCTTCTGCTGAGCCAGGAGCACAGAGGAGGCCACGGTGATGCTCACGGTGGTGGCCGTGCCGATGAAGGCCTGGGTCTGCTCCTGGGCGTTGAGGTTGATGACCAGAGGCTGCACCGCCGTGGACTGCCGCCCGGGGCCCGGGTCCAGGGCCAGGCCGTACTTCCTCGCTTCCACGGCCAGAGAGGTCAGGTCCATGCCCTGGTCAGTGAGGATGATGGGCGTGGGCTTGACGGCCGTGCGGAGGTCCACCACGGCACTGCCCGGGGGCCTGGGACCGGGCTCCACCCTGGACGTTCCAGGGACAGAGGAGATCCGGCACAGGGAGATGTTCTCGGCAGGGAGGGCGCCCCAGCCGTACAGCGCCAGGGGCCCGTCCGCACCGGCACTGGCCGCCCGCGGGAAGCCGGGCGGCCCAGGAGGCTCTGAGGGTAGCGGAGACGCACTCAGAGGGGTGGTCTGGCTGTAGCCGTGGGGGGTGGGCTGCGTGTCGGTGGGGGAGCACACCGGGGAGGCGGAGGCACTGGCATGGACCATCCTGGTCTGGCTGGAGGCCGCTGAGGCCAGTGTGATGACCATGAAGGGGGCCTCCCGAGAAGACTGCTGCCACTGCTGGGGGCCCAGGCGGGGCGCGCCGGGTCCATGCGGCGTTTGCGTGCCCTGCGCCACCATGGGGGATGGGGTGGGGGCGCCAGGGCTCCGCGGCATGTCCGAGGCAGGGGCCAGGCTTGGCGTCTGTGAGGAGAACTCGGCTGTGGCCCTGGGGCCCGGCTTGCCAGGGGAGAAGGTGGGGCTCTCTGAGGGAGAAGATGGGGAGAGCGGTGGGCTGGAGCCCGGGAAGTAGGCATATCCCTGGGAGGGCGGGGCGGGGCCGCCCTTGCCGTCACTCACACGCAGGGGTTTCTCTCTGGCGGCGGCAGGACCGCTGGGCGCCTGGGGCATCTCATCCGTTTGGGATCCGTAGTTTGCGGTGGTCGGGCTCTGCCCATAGCCGTGGGCTGTGGCAGATGGTGAGGGGCTGCGCTCGGAGCCTGCAGGTGATGCCAGAGTCACATACCCTCGAGCCGTGGTGGCTGGGGCCCCCGGGCCCTGGGGAAAGGCTGTGCTGGCCTCCTGGGAGGCAGAGCTGGGGGAGGCGGGAGAGCTGTGCAGGGGGGTCCT